AAAGGCTACAAAAAGTTTGTAAATAAATACAAACTTTTTCATCTTTTACTGTTGCTTTTGATTCTCGTTTTGAATGAAAATATATGCGAAATCATAAATAATAATAACATATGGATTGCCTCGCAGTTCACCAAAAAACATAAATATATCTCTTAAGCAAAATCACGACAATTAAAGAAGAAAAAATGTTTCTTCTTCTTATGGTTTGTATGTTTCGGCAAAAAAGGAGGAAAATAATGGTTAAACAGACATGACATCAAACTATATATCATTTTTCATATAATTATAATGAAATATATTTATTTTTGCTTTTCTTTCATATAGTCTTTTACACACAATTTATTATTAAGTTTGTGAACAAATCGAGAATCACTATCGGCTAAAGGGATTCATATCATATGATACAATACATTGATGTTATAAATTGTCTGAGAAATCAAAAGTGTGTACAAAAGAAGATAAACGACACGAGAATTAAATAAAATGAATCGAAAGTAAAGATTCATTGGTAATGAAAGGGTGGATACAATCATGCATTCATTTATGTATCACAAGAAACCAAACGAAGAGAAAACATACAAACATTTCTTTAAAATGATTTTATATAAATTGTTATATAAACTGGCGATAATGCATCTCTCTCTCTCTCTCCCTCTCTCTCTCTCTCTCTCTCTCATACCTCATACACATTATACATATCATAACTGGATATATGTTATTATATGCCTATTAATGGATAAAATATGTGTACATTATATAATAGGTTATTAACCCATCCCAGAGCCTACCATCGCATATAATGTACCAAAACATTGATTATCCAGAGATATAGAAAAGTATTTCTATCTATAATATAATGCATTTGAAACGCTTTCACTAAACTTCGGGCACTATTTCTTTGAAATAATACATAATATTATATTAAGTTATTTGAACCCTATTTATAGATTAATGATAAGATTGAAACAAAACTTGTATTTTCTATTATCATATAATTTCTACCATAAAAGTCACACCTCTTCTCATGTAATACACAAAAGAAATGCTCTTTTAGTGTCGATTGTGTTGGAAATTAACAAATATTTCAATTTTCTTATGATTTATATAAGAATTTTTATGCGAAAAGAATGCAAAACTTTTTTGTTTTCATGTATTTTGTTAAATATTTTTAGATTCTTTTTAATTACTAGTAAATTATATAATGATTTATAAATTGGGTATAATTTAAAGACTAATGAATAAATTAATATTACTAAATAGAGTTTAATTGAACATAAAAAAGACATTTGCAATAAATGCTAAAACAAATACCAATAATTGGGTTCAATTAAATCAATATTGACTCTAATATAACATTTAAATGTAAACGCTATGCAAAAGACAAACAACAAAACTGACTGCAAGTCTTGAAATTGTAATAAAAAAGAAGAAACAAAAACATGAATAAAGTATTTCATTGAATGATATGCTATTTGTCTTCGGACTCATACGAAAGTCGATAAATCAAATCAACAGGAAATGAATAAATAATAATTTTGTATTGAAATAAAATTAAATAAAACACTGTATTGTAAAACTTGTAAGACTTGTGTTGACTCTCTCGCGATGTCGACATAAAGTGATTTTTTGGGAAGCGATGAATAAATTATTATTGCATTTAATCCCCAGTTCTGGCGGTTATATTGAAATTTCATGAATTAAGTCTTTACACTAAAAACAAGTGTCAGACAAATACTGGTGTTTAAATTGACATATCGTTTTGATGTGAACTTAAAGGTCCCGAACAATAGGATATCCGACTCTTTAGTGATCACTCGGTATTCAAAATAATTGTAGATTTAGTAACAAAATAGTAATAATCATAGCATTTATGACTGAATAGATGTAAGAATATTGTTTTTGATTGTTTATCTTCACAATCATCATATATTGTAACCTTTAATAAATATAAACAATAAATATAAGTCTTTTGTTGACTAAACTTATGAAATATTTTTGAAAACTTGAAATTGTGATAATAAAAGATATAAAAGTTTCCCTATTTATCACTCAATCTTCAATATATGTTATACGCTATGACAACATTACATCTTATGTAAACTCAAACCTTATACTGAATTTAATAAAAAGTAGTGTTTATAATAAAAAGTTTATATATATCTAAAATTTAAAGAATATATTTGACAAAAATTGTGACAAAAAATCTTCAAATAAAATGAATGAATCGTTTAAATAAATAAATTGTTTGCGGATAACAGTGTTTAGTATCCAATTTAAATCACATAAATAGCTATAAAATGAGTATAAATGTGTATTTTATACCAAATGATGGCTTTATCACATAATAATGACTATACGATAGTAGATATCATTTAAATCTATTACCCAAACGACTAGTATTATAAATATTGTTTAAAAAACTAAAATCAATTTAGCAATACTTTTGAGATACCATTATCGGTTAAATTATACATTCAAACACACATATGTCGATAACTCTTACCCATCAATAGTCAAATCGAGTATAGATATGCTATCATTATAGAGATTAAATTTGCAATAGACTCCAAGTGCCAGATCTTTGGTCGTAACGACCATATCGTGGTGTTGTATAACAATATCATTAGTGAAATGTCCGGGATTTGACTGTTTGACATCGCATTCATCGTTACTGTATTTCATATTTAAATCAAACTCTAAACTATTGGTTATATCATTAACACAATTGTTTGGTCTGTTTTTGGCATATATTTTCCCATTGAAGAGCCGACTCGTCCGCACTTTGGTCACCATTTCTCGCGATCGACAGCTTATTGTTACTAAAGGCGAGAAAAAAGTTTTAATGACAGTTATAATTAAATAACATGTTAAATTTAAAGTGTGTTCATATGATTTGAATACCATTATAACATAAAAGAAGTTCATAGGTTGTAGCGCCGATCGCATTGAGATACGGACTCTCGATATGTGTCAATGAATTCCTGTCCAAATGACTTAATCGGCAGATATTGTCACTGAAATCAAATGAATGGCAACGGAATTGACTGTTAAGACACTTGTCTTTGCAGTCTTTGATTGAATCAATCGCTTCATAGATTGAGTCAACAGTTTTCAGTCTCTTTCCATTTACCGGAAGAAATTCGCAAAACTTTTTTGGCTCTAAAATCAAAGAAAAATGATTAAAGAAAATATTTTTAGCTGTCGTTTCAATTCAATAATCAATTCAAACCTTGAATGCAATTATTTTCAATATAATCGATATTAGTATTGGTCGGACCATAGGTTCGTTTCTTTAGATCTTCGTTCACATTAATGGTATGTCTATCCATATCAGAGAGGGAACACTCGTGGCTATCGGTGTCATAATTAACTGATCGGCACTCAAAGTCTCGCTCATTGAGACACAATTGCATGCAATCGAGTCTTGACATCACTTTAACACTCTTTTTGCCCATTCTTTTCAATTCAAAACCATTGACTCTTTCGAAAGCCCAGCCCTGAGTACAGGACTTATTCTTGTCTACAAATAAAACAATAAATTTTAATTGATATCATATTATATATAATCCGCAATATTATGTTAATTTTTAGTGATTAATCATTTTTGTGTCTTATATCTCATATGAGTGGTTGTTTTGGTATTAGTTATATATTATAATATATTCTATAAGTAATCAAATAGTGAAGAATTAGATAGAAATTAGACAAAAGAGAAACAAAATACTAGTTCAGCACTCAATCAAGTAATTGTCTATAAATTGACTTTAAAAAGTAATACTTTGAAATATAATTAGTTTAATAAGTGATTGATTAATAAACTAATTGTTTACCTTTTAAACAGACTTTTTGACCATAAATAGTGAAGACTGGAAACTGAGAAGAAACCAACGCTTCGGGTCTTTCGTTGGCTGAAGTCCTCAACAAAACACATAATCCGGTCTCAAAGTTAAATGATTTGCACGTGTCGTCCGTTAGACACGAGTTGAGGCATTCCTGGAGATGTAATATTCCGGGTATTTTTGCCACCGTATCCGACGGTCCCCGAAATGTATAGCCAGTAATCAACTCAAATGTGACAACACTTCCCGCGGGACAGACATCTGTTAGGAAAGACGGGATTTTGTTAAAACTTTGTAACGTTGATAATATACACTTAATTCATTAAATTAAATCAAGCGTTACATAAAATACTTGTTATTAATAAATAAATAGAATAATAAATAGAAAAGACATAAAATTTACAATTATTAATATAAATAAAAAATATATCTATAAACTTACCATTTTTCTGGGCATTAATGCAACAAAAAAGCGTTAATTTCAACACAATTGTGATTATAAGTGAAGAACGTTTAATGAGTAAAAAATTGTTTCTAATGGCCATCATTTGCGGGAATGAGTTAACAATTTAAATGCAAAACTACTTATATTAACAGTTAGACACCAAAATATTGGCCACAAATCGGTAATTTCTTTTCAAAAAAGACACTTTTTATTTATTTATTAAGTAATAATTCGCGGAAATTGTGGTAAAATTCCATGAGATTTAAAACATAAGTTAAAAAATAAAACTTTTCATCCGATTTTCGAAAATAACACAATTTTATAAATAATATTCTAATAAAACATTTATAAAAATTGCATTATTTTGAAATAAAATTCTTTGCGATATAACATTAAATAATGTGAAAATATCGATGAATTCAATTTGAATATACTTTGTGTATAATTGATGAAACAATTATTTAAATATTTAATTATTATTATTAAGTAAACTATTGAGACGAGCGAACACAATATGCTAAACAGCATAACCAGTGCTCTCAATGGGAATATTTAATTGGCAAAAATGTACACATTTTTCTCGAATATGGACTAAAATAATTCATTACTTATACAAAAGTTACACAAAGTTTGTATACAATTCTGGCATTTTTTCACTCCATCACAACATCTATCGCTGCAAAGCGTTTGCAAACCTATTCACTGAATTCATCAACATTTCTGAGCCTCTCATCAGAGGAGCCTTTTTCGCAAAAACACGACTTCGAGTAAAAAACTTGATCTGAAAGGCAGGCAATAGTGACGGCAGTAAAAATTTTTTGGTTTTGACCTTCACTTGCAAACAGGTAGTAAACGCTACGTTAAGACATACCCCAACTCTACTAGTCTGACAACTTTTACTTACGGCTAATTCCCTTCGATTCCCCGTTCCCTAAGCTCAAAATTGTAGGAATCTTTTACAGTTCTCTCTAATATATAGTAAATTTTTGTATATAAAGTTATAATAAAACTATATTAAACTAAATGATTATGATGCTTATGATTTATTTTAAACTTTATAATTATTGCCTTTTATTATAAAGTATAAAACCTATAAATTATAATACTTTCCTGTCAACTAATTCTGTATTGTAATAATGATTGCCTCATAATTAAATATAAAGAATATAAATTATATAAAATTGAACTAAAAACAAACTAACATTACATTACAAGAAATTCACGGAAAAAATCAATATTAAAAGAATTCCCGTTCCGTAGAGAACCGGGAGATTTCAAAGTGTATTACATTACAGGGATATTTAATAACAGGTATATTATAATTCAACCCCACTTACTCTCTCCCTCGTCTCCGACTCATCTCTCTCTCTCTCTCTCTCTCTCTCTCTCTCATTCTTAGGGCTGTCTTTGCGGTAATGTCTATAAAAACGAGTCATTTATAGAAATTTAACTCCAGTTGACAGAGTTATAGTAAAATCTTAGGCACCCATACCTACTATACTTACAATCCCATTGTTGTCTCGTATTATGTAATATAATTGACAGGACATTCAACTGAGAAGTCAACTATAGTTTCCATTCTTATGATAAACACCGAAATAAAAACAAAATTTATTGTTTGCACAAAAATTGGCTTTATTTGTAAAATAATGATTTTATTGGAAAAATAAATTAAAAATATTTATACAATGATTGCAAAATGTGTTTTTCATTAACAAATTATTATAAATTCATTATACATGATAAAAATACAGTACATCTTAATTAAGATTGAAAAATTCCCAGTCCTTTTAACAAGTTATTTGGTCTCAAACTTTCTGTATGTTATGTTGTCTGTCATAAGAGTGAACATAAAAATAATATATATATTAAAGCATTTCTAATCGTTTTGAAGGGTCTCTATATGTTGTGCTCTTTCTCTCCATATAACCAGAAGTCTTGTGAAAAATCCCATAAGAATTGAATTTTTACTGTTAGTCTAAATTGTTTTATTCGGAAATTGTTTTTTCACTTAACCTAAAAATACAGACAGTAATACACGGCTATAACTATATGTACAGCCATTTCATTCTCTCGTTAATATAATAAACAGCGAAACTCACTGTTAATTTAGACCCAAACGGGAAAAAATTGTATACAAAAAGAGCACATAATTCACAACAAGAATATTTGCGAACAAAAAAGAAGTTCTGTTTTTCGCTTCCTTTCGCTTCAAATTCAAAGCTAAGCCCAAAAAAATGTATGCAATAAATGAATAAATACATCGATCCTATTATTCATTTGGTTTGCATAATAGTCACATATTCTCTATGGCTCTCTCCCAGCAAAATATTTATATACAAAAAACCCACACCTTTTATAAACATAACCTTTTAAACAGTACTTAACTATTTTCTAATTCTTATATTTTGTATAAATTAACTCAAATGTTGGCATAAAAAGCAAAAATCGATGGCTTTATGGCTCAATAGCCTCAAACATAATAAGTTTTTGTTTTATACAAAAAAGTAAAATTATTGCTACTTTTAGTCCCTACTGTTTATTATTAACGAGAAATTATATATTTAATATCGATATCAATATATTTAATTTGCTTTTGTTTCGTGTTTTAATGTTTGGCAGTATTGGCAACAATTAATTAGTATATACTTTGAATACAAAATTGTTCTCATTATTAGTGATATTCTTAATTATGTGTGCAAAAGATATAAGAAATAAATAATTAAATAAAAAAATAATTAAGAAGAGATGGTGAGAGAGAGAGAGAGAGAGAGAGAGAGAGAAATTGGGAAAAATAAAAACATTACAAACAAATTAATTCATTTCATATGTAGATAAGAAAAAAGTCAAACAATTTCACGTTCATTTAGTATAACAGGAACTCACATCAAATAGTAATCACAATCTGTGTGTTCTTCACTCCTCTCTCTCTCTCTCTCTCCAACTCTCATATTAAAAAGTTTGAGAGAAGTTTTTTGCATATCTATACTGTTATCTATGTTTTTGCAAAACTATCAGTTCTGTTAATATTTGAATTCATAATGAATGATATAAATATATATCTCCTGATATACGAGTTGTATATCTACAGAGAGATGGATATCAGAGACCATTCGAGTCAAAGACAATGGATGGGAACGAATTTGATGTTTGAAAAGTAATGGTAAAAATGTTTACAAATGCTTTCAAATGGTTTGCGGGCGGAATGAGAGACCATATAATTGGTAGATTGGCTTTAGGTCTTTGGGAATGGCTGTGAAAATGTCATTATTATTATATGTATTGCGATATAATGGCAGTAATTGTGATATATTTATGCCATTCCGCGTAGTCTGCGATGCATTCATTCAAAAACGTTACACAATTTCTGCACTAATTTCGGATTCAATGGTCACTAATTTGAGGCAAGAAGTGTTTTACAGGAATGACAACCAATAATGATATCCAAATGATTAGTAGCTGTAAAGTCCAGTCTTGCTTGTGATGGACGCGCGGCTCGACTCACGAAACGTTTGCGATAATCGGCGGACCTTTCGGCCGGTGATCACTACCCAAAAGCAAAGCCCGCAAATCGAGATTTGTGCGAAACAGCCCACTATTATAGCCCCGTATATCACATACGGAGAGAAACATATATCACCCGCACAGAAGTGAATTATCGATGAGATGCCTGTTTTTAATTGAGGGAAACAATAAATAAAAACAATTAGCTATAATATAAATTTATATATATTTAAATAACTTATTTATGCTTTAAAGAGGTTTAAAATTCAATTTTATAGACATAGGTTTGAAATGACGGCAAGAATTAAGTGAATCGAAACGACTGGTAAGAAAAAAGTCCTCAAATTACTGTTTGGGAATGAACTCGATATTCAACTTTTTTATGATATTATATAAAAGTAATAGATTTTTTGCAATAAATTTGATGACAAGAAGATATTTGACATTCAATTGAATTTTATTCTGTAAAGTAATCCTTTTTCAAAGAGCGGAGACGACGACTCTTTTTTCCCTTTGAATTTTATTTCCGATACAAAAGTGAGATAATGTTTGTGATTATCTTTTTGTTTCTTTTTTAGTGATGACTTTGAAATAAAAAGTTTTGTTTGAGTCGTTAGAAGTGATCTCAAACGCAAATATTTAAGCCTTAAGTTTCGGAATACAACAAAAAAGTAATTCAAATAATTTAATAGAGAGTCACTTAATATAAATATAGTTTACATTTGCAAATAGGAAGAGATAAGAGAGAAAAAAGTATTTAATGTATTTAATGGTATAGCAATGGGACCGTTATTTGAGACAATTATGGTTTTGACAATAATTGTCATTAGAGTGAATGCGTCCGTTAAAAAGGGATGGGATGTGAGGAAAGACATGGAAATCTATTTATGATGAATGCCTCGAAATGCTAAACAATTCTCACGTATTTAGTAGTGAGAGATGTGTAATACATGTCGAGTGGCTCTGCGTTTGAACTCAACGTTTCTTTAAGCAAGAAGTGGAGAACCGCCTCATATCGTGCGTCCACTCCATTACGGGCTCTTTCGGGGCCTTTTCTCTCCCACTCTCTCTCTCTCTCTCTCTCTCTCTCTCTCTCTCTCAACGGTTACTTCAGAAAGTATGGATTGTCTCAAACGAACGGATCCAACAAAAGAATATATGATTTGTATATATTTATACACAATTCTGGTTTCGCTTTTGTTTTGTGTGAAAACATAATTATAGTTTCATTGCATTAACGCTTCAATGAATTCGCAGTGAATTCTCTTGAATTAGAGAACAAAAAATAATTTTTTGTTTGAATCCCTTTAATAAATCTTCTCATCAAAAAACTAGTCGTTAGGAAAACATGTCAGAAAATAATATGCGATAAATCGCATGCAATCCAATATGTCTTTTGACGGCGCCTAAAGGCCAGGTCTATAAATGCCTACAAAATGCTGTACTTTTGTTTGCGGGGCTCACAATGTTTGGCCAATACATGCGCCGATAATTTA